GAGGCAGAACATGAAGCTCTTCAAAGAACACTTTCAATTGAAAATGGGGAGGAGAGCGGCTTTTCGGAGGGAATGTATTTATACGCCCCTGTGTGCCCGCGCGTGCGCACACACACACACACACACACACACACACACACACACACACTCAACACCCCGAGACCAGGAACACCATGCTGCATACAGAACTCTCTACCAGTTCTCTTTTGTCAGCCCTCCCTCTCTTCCTCTGGCTCTGGGGGTCCCAGCCTTTTCTGGTTTCCCTGCCCATGGGACCGCTCCCGGACCTGCTCTCCAGATGGTGGTGCACTTTCCTGACCTCTCTGGGTTTCCTTCCCCTGCCTGGGGTCCCTGTCGGCTGCTGCTCTTTGCCGACACGTCTGGCAGTTTCCTCCTCCGAGCTCATTCTCCCCAACTGCTCCACAGCATCCGATTCTGCCAACCGCCGTCATCTCCTTGAGCAAAAGGAGTCCGTTAAACTAAGCTCCGCCTCTTCTAGCAAAGCGAAATGCCAAGCGTGAGGTCTGGGAGCTGGAAGAAGAGTTTAGAGGGCATTTGGTTGAACCCTTTCATTTTACAGTGGCTACAGCTTTGGCCCAGAAAAGGGAATGACTTGCCCACGGACACCGTGAGTTTGTGGCCCAGCTGCAGCAACAGCCGGGTCTTGAGATGTCCTGCCCACTGCTTTTTCCACGGGAGAGCACAGCCCTCCTGCTGTGAGCGGCCAAGAGACCCGGCAGGGCTGGCCTGGGCTATCGGCATGCCCATGCTTCCTTCCTTCCCCCACACTGACAGTTGCTAACAGTTTAACATTCCCACCTCACTTTGGCCGTCCATTTGGTTTCGTGGCATATCATCTCATCGAAGATGGCTGTATAGCATAATGTCTTTTTTTTAAGGTTTACTTATTTATTTTGAGAGAGACAGAGGTGGCGTGAGTGGGGGAAAGGCAGAGAGAGAGAGAGAGAGAGGAAGAGAGAATCCCAAGCAGGCTCTGTGCTCACAACGCAGAGCCCGATGCGGGGCTCCAACACAAGGGAGTGTGAGATGGTGACTTAAGCCGAAACCAAGAGTAAGACGCTTAACCGACTGAGCCACCCGGGTGCTCCTGTAGCAGAATGTCTTTTTAACTAAGATGAAATAAAATGCAGGCACATCTTTTGGAATAACCTGACCCTGAGAGGTTGTTGCTGATACTTCAGGATGCATGGAAGCCAGGGTAGACAATTACTAGTCTATACTAAGTTGATTAAGTGTAAGAAACAGCCACGAGCACACCTCCGTGGTTTCTTCTGGCTTTTTCCCACCCCACCCCTCCTTTCCTGCCGCCCCTGCCCCCAACTAGTTT